TGGGTCATTAAGTGTCAATACTTTAAAAGACCAAATGGTTTGTTCTTTAAAAAAAAAAAACAAAAAACAAGAAAACCCAAAAAAGTAATTTTCTTATTTGACCTTTCACATGATCAGACAGTGGGTCTGGCCTACAAAGCAGACCATTCTTCACTTCAGCATGGATCTGGTATTATTCCACATCACTAGGAAATAATGAAATCATGTAAAAATAAAAATGTAAATATGAAAATCTATTTAAAAATGTGTTGGAAATTAGATTCCAACATTTTTTGAAATATTTCAAAATTCTGCCAAGAAATGCTGGGATTATGAATGGGAATTTCTCCAAAAAATCCATTTTATAGCAAATTACAAGAATATTTGTTTTTATTTAGAATGAAAACAAATGTTAAAACACCGTAACTTCTTCTGAAACCAACTCCGTGATTTTAAAAACCTAACCTATTTTGTCTCAAGTAAGAGACATCACCTAGAATTAGAGGCAGTAAAGCATCAGTTATAAAATTGGTCAAAAATTATCTGACAAAATATTTTTCCATCATAAAATGTCATGTCATTGAAATAAAAGCTTTCTACAAGACTGTGTCAATTTGGACAACCTTTCATTTAAGAACTTGTAAGGAGGGATTTTGATGATGCCAACTTGTCCCACTTCCGCATTATCAGACTGGAGTGTTTCCATTTCTTGTTCTGAAATGGCTTTTCACTCCCTGCCATGCTCTTCCCCCACACAAACTATAATTAAGTCTCCTAACTAACCAGTCTGACTTTCCAAGTGTTAAGTACTCAGCCGTTCCCATTGACATAAACATGTTGGCCATTTTTGAAAATCAGAATGAGGACAAGTGAGCCAAAGACAAATCTGTTACTACAAACACTAGACACAAAGGAGTGCAAGCTGGGAGAGAGAAGAGTTAAAGCACAGATTTTCTGACTTCCCTGCAGCCATATTGTCCCTAACCCTAACTACATTTCCACTAAGAAATACAATCCTCCATTAATTCAACTACTGGTGAATTTTTCAGATGATAATCAGACTGGCACTGGCTTCACTTTATGGCTCTGTTATCAATGTTTTGGATGAACCAAGGCAAGATACTTGACCTGTCCGTGCCTTGGCTCCTCACCTTTGCCCCATCTCCCTTACTTGTTCAATTCAGGTTAATGCCTATAACATCAATTTATTCTTAAGGAAGTTTGCATGTGGCACTCAGCAACAGGTGGGGCCATGGTGTCAGTTGGGATAACCACACAGTACCCTCAAACAAAGGGTCACACCTTCATTAGAAAACAAGAACAGCAGCAAAAACCCTGGAGATTTTAAACAAGCCACTGTGATACACAGCTAACTTTAAAAAGCAGCAGATTTTGTCTATAATTTTCTTCTTGTCTAGGCCAAGTTCAAGCAGTCTGTAAAACTTGTCTCTCTTTCTGTGTGTCTGTTAAATCTATCTGTCTATCTTTCTTTTTGTCTATTAAAAAAAAAAATCTGATCATAGTTAAGGGATTTCCTCCTGCAGATTGGGGGAAAACCTACCTGATCTGGAGCTCTGTTGAAATAAAAAATCTTTTTTTGCTCGTGTGTGAAGAGATGAGCTCAACTCAGTGGAGAGTTTTGTATGGAAAAATCACATTTAAGCATTAAAATATGTTCCTTTTCTTTTTGGATCACAAAGTCTCTCTTGCCTATTGACTGGTCCTGCTCCTTGATGCAACCAGTTACTGCCACATACAAAATAGAGGTAGCTCCCAAGAAGTCCTATACATCTTCTCAGATCTAAGCAGGTGCAGCAAATAAAGAGTGGCGTCTAAAGCTAACGTACAAAGGTAGCTGTACACTGTCTTTCAAAGTGGATGCTTTTATCCTTGGAGAAATGGCAGACTGGTTCTACTAAATGGTCGCAGTCTCTGTTAACTTGTAGAAGATGTGGGACAGACAAAACAGAAAGAGCCTGCCTGGCTGAATTACCCATGTGTTTCACTCCTAGATCTGAGTGTAAATTTTCCAGCAGAAAAGTTCATGCCTTTTCCAGCTTTTCAGTGTGTGTGTGGGGTGGGGAATGGTTTTTGTCCCTATCCCTTTCCTCTCCTACAATTCCCCCACCCTATTTCCCTCTCTCTATTTATCTAGTAGAAAAGGATTTTTTTTTTTAAATGCACAATTTGTTAAATGTTAACACTTCTAAGTTTCAAGAAAGGTTAACCTACTGTAGTTAATAACCAGATCATGAACAACTTGAGGGGCCCTCCATGCTGAGAAATCACAGGACTTCTTCTGGACCAGGTTGATTTTTTTTTTGTCAAAGTTTGTAATTTCAAAGTTTCCCTCCCGCCCCGAAAATTCAATGGCAACTTTTGAAGAAAATATCAACCTATTTGACAGTTAGCTTGCATCTTTGCCTCCTCTTCTGGTGCTGACAAGGGAAGCATTTAAAGCATTTAAAGCCAAATGTTGTCTCATTCCTGC